TTAAGTGGGTGTTTATGTTCTTCCGACTCGTTTTGTGTTTTTACGCTTTCCGATATGTTTTTGACAGGTTACCTGGTTTCATGGTTTTACTGGTAGTTCTTTTTTATAAAAACAGGTTTAATTACAATTTTATTTATAATGCCGTTTGAATCCACATAATGTGTGGTAGTACAAACACATTATGTGCACCGCTCATGTCCGTGGACCTGCCGTCCCCGCTGCAACACGATCTCGTACCTGAACGTCTTGGGATGCCAAGACTCGAGTTTTCTCGGCTTCTGTTGGCATCTTTTAAGTGTATGTGGGTAATTGTGTCCCGTGAGTTTGGCGAGCCCACCAAAAGCAAACCTTTGTCAATACATGTTCGATCGTATTACAATTTACAGGTTGGCCACATTGATTGCAGATTAAACCACATTGAATGAAATAGATTCCAGATGTACTTCGAAGTTCGAAGATATTAGAACTTCGAAACCACATTGATTGCTGATTTGGCCACATTGAACGGGCAATGGTGTACAAGTGCAGTCACAACTACTACTACACCACTGCCCGTTCAAGGTATGGATGGAAAACACCTCTTTTTCTTTTTAGAGGAAATATGGTTATAGGTTAAAAGCATTAAAACCTCAATTTGAGACAATAAAACCTTAGGTTGTATTCTGCATACTGTACTACTGCTCCCCTACTCTTCACTGCCCGACGGATCAACTTCAGGCTCAACGCGCAGGTCGTAGTCGTAGAACGCTGGCAAGTTGCTTTTGATTAAAGTCAGCTTGACGACGTTCTTCGGGTTCAGGCGGTTCCGGAGTTTTGAATGTAGGAAGCCAATGGTGGAGAAGTTCCGCTCTGAGGCGGCACTGTACTTCGCCATGCTGAAAAGCATTATGGTGAGTGTTGCGACATATACGTAGAAAGAATTCTGGGGACTTTCTAAATAGATCGTGGAACACTGCGCGGTCAGGCCGCGGACGGCGCCGGACGAAACGACCTTCCGGTATTCCGGGCATATTAAGGTACTCAATAATGTTATTTTATTAATGTAACCTTCTTAAAACGTTTCTGAGGCCTCAGATGGAGGTGAGGTTTAAAAGAAAAATCTTTCATAACCGAGGTGCAAAAATCCTACTCGTGCCATCTCTGGTTCAAAGTGGCCAAACCAGCAATCAATGTGGTTCCGAGGTTTTAATTTCTTCGATCGTCAAAGTACATCTGGAATCTATTTCATTCAAAGTGGTTTATTCTGCAATCAAAGTGACCAACCTGTACATTCGAATTCATAATAACATGTATTGACAAAGGTTTTCCTGTTGGCGTGTGGGACCTCACGCCAGTTGCCGGCGTTGGTCGTGGAATGCAGGATGACCAATGCGAAGAAGACGCAACGCAAGGAATGGATAATGTCACGGTGCGTTATCGACGGGATGTTGAAGAACCCCGAAACCCGAAGAGTGTGAGTCCGAGTGACTGTCTCTGGTGGTGGAGTCCCGTACTGGTCCCCCAGTCCGGGATTAGTGGGTGAGTCGACCGGTATGCAGTAGCGACACCAAGTCGCATCACTCAGTGTTGACGACCACACTGTCGACATGGGGCTCTCAGGGGCCTGGATCCTTGAAGACCAACGGCCATAGGATGAGGTGGCAGGGATTGTGGACATTTCCTGTCTGAGGAGGCAGCTGAAGTGGTCGAACCAGCCCACCGTCGAGGGGATGGCTGTGAGCTGACTGATTGCTTTAGACGACGATAACATTTACCTTGACTTTACATTTTGCCTGGGAATATAGACTCCTGCTTATGTTCTTTATCTCGCGCTTGCCTTCGCCGCACGTACCAAGGTCGTTTTCACGGAAACCCCGTGACAATTTGGTGGAGCAGCATTGTACGTGTCTGCAACGGAAGTGAGGGAAGTCAAATTGTCGACAAACAACCAAGAACAAGCCCCATTGCCCCAACGAAAGTCGCTTCGTTTGGCAGGAAGAGTACCCGAGCACCCCGTCGTGGCCGAACCCCTACGCATTGGCAGCTGCGAAAGGCCACACCGACAAGCAAAAGGGAGACTTGAGTGCCTGGATGTCAACCCTGTCCCCGGAGAAGAAAAGACTAGCCGACGGCTCTTCGGACTTGCCCTCGGACGCCGATCAACTCGTGTTGACCTCCCCACCGAAGAAACCAAGCAAGGTTCCGGACGGTGTGCTCAAACACGAAGTAATCGACTTGAGGGATGACGATTCCGACGAAGAGAAGCCCCGGACTGGAGTGGCGCGGAACGTAACGAGCTCCTTCGAAGTTGGGGAACCAGCCCCTAGTCCAAGGGGCCCCCTACGGACGAAAGATTGTGGAAGTACCGGATCCGCACCCGTGGGAGGAAGACGTCAAGCCACCCTCGGCTGAAGACGCCTTCGTGTTGAGGACATTCAGAGAAGTGTCGCAGAGTTTTGCGATCATCGTCCACGATGTAGAGTATCAACAGAAGGCTGAGGCCCTGAAGTTCTTCCAACAGTACAACGAAGACCGGTCGCACCTCCTGGATGGTCAAGAACCCCGTTTAGTAGCGATTGCTGACGCCCTCATGGCAGCTGCAACTGCGAACGAATTTCGTAACCAAAACGAGTTCCTACTAGGACGAGAGTCGCTCCAGAACAGCAACTGCTTCTTGGTCGAACTGGAGTCCTCTCGACGCCTCATGCAACGGGACGCTGAGGTAGCAGTCCGGGATGAAGTCCAAGCGAGTTTGGATGAGTGCCAAGTAAGATGGAAGAAGTGGTTCCTGGAGTACCAAGCATCTCAAGAGGGGGCTTTCCAGCTGAAGACCGCCAGCGCTCTTCAAGCGAAAGACCGGGAGATTGCGGCGATACAACGGACTGTAGTAAAAACATGCTGGCTATTTAGGACCAAGCAAACCGATCGGTGAGGATTCGTCAAGAGCGGGTGGAGGCGTTGGAACGCCAGCACCCGGACGATGTGCGTGCTCCCCAAGCTCAAACGGCACAGGAGCAGCAGTCCCTACTGGCGAAATACACCAAACGGGAAGTACTCCGCGCGGCGGAAAACGATGAGTTGGTGAAAAAGAAGGGCCTTGAGCTGAAGGCGTTACGTCAAGAAGTGATGTGCTACGAAAGTCTACTGAAGAAGGCGAAATCGGCGAAACTGGAGTGGCGAAAGCTGGCCGAAGAAATAGAACAGGCCTGCCCCAACTGCGTCCGGTTGGAACAAGACATTCTGGTCCTACAAGGCCAGTCTGTGAGCGAAGCTGAAGCGTACCGACAACGGGAAGTCGAGTCCTCGAAGAGCGAATGTCACGGCCTGACGAAGGCCCTCGCCGAAAGCCAGGACGTGGCGAAGGAGCTGGAAATGGAGCTCGACGTGCTGTCTGAAGCTACACCGTCCGGAAGCGACCTGAAGGCGATCTGGCAGATCCAAGAAGCGAAAGCCCAGTTGTCTTCAGCACAAGCAGCTTTGGAGGTAGAACGAGCGGCTTTGGCCGAATTTGTTCGAACGAACCGGCTCGAAAAGGGAGTATTGGAGGCACCCAAGAAGCTTATCCGGGAACAAGAGGCCAAGGGTGAAGCCGGCCGACGAAGTCAAGAACTTTCCCTGGCGGAACTACGTAGTGAATTGGAAAAGACGCAAGCTCGCCAAGAAGTCGAAAAGGCGGGAGTTGAACGAACTCCGGGTCTACACCAACCGAGCCAACCCTTTCCTGACAAAGCCGACTCTGGACCCTTAATTGGCTCAGTACGGAGCGCCCACGATAGCCCCGTCGGTCTCCTTCGCGACTCCCGTTGGTGCGCCAGTTTATGGAGTCAAACCGGTGTTCTCTTCGATCTGTGTGGACTAGGGCTCTCACTCCTTTACCAGCGTCACCAAAGAAGTCGTCCCGAATCATGTACCTGGCAGTACGGGATGGAACCGAGGACACTCACGACACTCTCGTGTATGGAGTCAAAATTCCAACGCCGCCGGTCTCGTTTGCACCTCCTCCGCGGTCGAACCTAGCCGGAGTATACGAGCTACGAGGGTATCCCACACCCGCCAGTCAAGGACACCATGGGGTGCGATGACTGGTGGCTACGGTGCTGCTACGGTGGAGACCCTTCTCCCGATCGGGGAGGCGGAGGCCCTGGAGGGTGTGATCATCCTGGACCTGACTATGGAAGCAGCTCACGACGATTACCGGGATACGGAGGGCAAGCGAGATGTCCCCCTAGTGACCCCCCAGAGGTGACGACTCTGGGAGTGGACCTTCGTAGTGCCTTCCGAAACCGCCATAGGTGGGGGTGCTGAACACAACTTCAACCGCCTATATAT